CAGCTTCATTTACACAACACACAATGTATGTGTAGGCATGTTTCTTTAAGGCACGTGTGTGACCTTATGCTCGCTCACCTCTACATATGATGACAAGGATTCCCAATCTAAATATTCATCCTGACCCTAAACAAAAGAAACCCAATCACCCTCTCTCAGGGAGTCACAGCTTTGGAAGCCATTCACTGTGATCTCCTCTGCTGCAAATCAGTTTTCTCTATGCAACAATCAACCTGGTCCAGTTTCTGACTCACCAAGGAGTGAACTCATGTTGGCATTTAGAGGGTAACTCTTTTTTAGTATATGTGCTGCCGAAGTGAGCACTAGAGGGTAACTCTTTAACACCAAATCCTTGTATTAGTAAAGAAGGATCTCAAATTAATGGCCTCAGCTCTCATTTCATTAAAACCGAACTATGCAGAAAAAAGGAAATAATAAAGATAAAGGTAGAAATCAATGAAATAGAAAAACAGAGAAAGGCAAAGAAACCAACAATCACCAATTTCAAGAATAAGATATGACATAAAGATGTCATAAAGACATGAACAACTTTATGCCAATAAATTCACCAATTTAGATGGAATGGGAATATTCCCTAAAAGACGCAAACTACCAGTGCTCACTCAAGAAGATATACAGAATATGAACAGCCCTGTTGCTATTAACAATATTAAATCTGTAGTTTAAAACCTTGCCACAGGGGTGCCTGGGTGGCTCAGTCGTTAAGCGTCTGCCTTCGGCGCAGGTCATGATCCCAGGGTCCTGGGATCGAGCCCCGCATCGGGCTCCCTGCTCAGCGGGAAGCCTGCTTCTCCCTCTCCCACTCTCCGTGCTTATGTTCCCTCTCTCGCTCTCTGTCAAATAAATAAAATCTTAAGAAAAAAAAAAAAAACCTTGCCACAAAGGTAATTCCTACAAGACTTGAGATCTCACTTAAAAAATGTGCTGAGAGGGAAACAGGCTTGCCACAAAATTAACAACCACCACATAAACCATGGAGTGAAAAGAAATGATTAAAGGGGGAAAGAGAGAAAAGGGAGAGGAGGAGGGGAAAGTGGGAAGGAGATAAAGACTTCCAGTTGAAGCTTTAGGACCATTTTATTAAACTTTATCCCTCCCTTATCTTAAAAAAGCGAAGTTTAGGGCGCCTGGGTGGCTCAGTTGGTTAAGCGACTACCTTCGGCTCAGGTCATGATCCTGGAGTCCCGGGATCGAGTCCCACATCGGGCTCCCTGCTCAGCAGGGAGTCTGCTTCTCCCTCTGACCTTCCTCCCTCTCATGCTCTCTACCATTCTCTCTCTCTCAATAAATAAATAAAAATCTTCAAAAAATAAAAAAAATAATAAATAAAAAAGTGAAGTTTAATTTAAAGAGGAAGAAATAAGATAAACACTGCAAAGGGAGGTTAGGTTTTCTTTGAATACTTCCTGTTCCTAGGTGATTACTTTTGCCCATCATCACTGGATTCTACTTTTTCCCCCTGGCACTGTCAGGGAGAAAGTAGCAATAAATTGGTCCAGGGGTATTGGATCTGTAATGAAATTAAATATAAATGTAGGGGTGTTTCTAACAAATAGGAAGCCTATTAGAGACACTTTCTCTCAAATATCTCAAATACTCGTATTTGAAGAACACACTAAGATACACTAAACATAATTTTTGTTTCCTCCATTATAAGATGCTTTTGATTCCCTAAGCTTTCCTATTTAGCAAACAGGAACTTCTTGCCCTTCTCTGCTATGTTTTTAGTGGAGCAGAAGCCAAAAAACTCTGCAGGGTTTACTTCCTTATTTGTCCAACAAATCATCATCAGTGAAGTCAGCAGCAAATTGAACAACCCTGGAAGGAATGTTTATTAACTAAACACTGTTCCAAGCCATTTGAGGAGTACAAAAAATATGACTGCGTTCTAAGTCTCAAGAATAGAGTAATTACCAATTTTCCCTAAAACTTGGGCTCTTCCTAGAGCCAGAAAGGTAAGTTAAGTCCGTGTAGTATCAAAGTTGCACACAACTTTAACAGTTTCTCTTAAATGAGTACATTGATAAAGACACAGTTTTTAAATATAACTGTTTTTAGCCTAGTAATAGCATAAAGTTGCCAGTGGTTTTTGTTGTTCTCATTGTTATTTACCTTAACAAAATATTACATGCCTTAAGATAAATATTTGAAGCAAAAGTAACAAACCATGAAGATACTTGTGACTTCCTCATCTTTAAGTTAAAAAAATGTATAGAATTCATTCTTAGAAATGGCATACATACATTTATACTTTCATTGGTGGCATTTTAATGGTTTGGGAGGAGACTAATAATCATATATATTCTATTTATTTATAATCCAAAGTTTATTCTATTTCAAACATAGTAATCATTTATTTGCAAGTATCATTACCAATTAAATAAGCAGTAACAATGTGTAAGGCTGAGAGGCAGGTTTGTTATTACAAAGCAATGGAGCCAAAAGCAATTCATTTCAAGTTAATTTAAAATTTATAAACTCAAAGAAGGCAGTACTGGTTCCATTTTCTTCAGTTGTAAAATATTCAACCTATTTGATAAATGAGCACATAATAATAATGGATGATAGGGGCACCTGGGGGGCTCAGTCGTTAAGCGTCTGCCTTCAGCTCAGGTCATGATCCCAGAGTCCTGGGATCGAGTCCCGCATCGGGCTCCCTGCTCCCTGGGAGCCTGCTTCTCCCTCTGCTTCTCTCTCACTCTGTGTCTCTCATAAATAAATAAATAAAATCTTAAAAAAAAATAATGGATGATAACAGAGATAAGATTAAAATATGTGAAAGCAGAGAATGGAGAAAGTCTATTGTTCTATTAAAAAAAAAAATCACCAAATTTCATTCCACAAGTTTTATACTGAGCACTAAGCTGTTTTTACTCGTAATGCTTCTAATACCAAATGTGTGGGGTTTTTTCTCACACCAGCTGTTTCTCCAATTTTCTGACACCAACTGGGTATCCAACAATCCAATTCTGACACTATCTACCTGAAGTTACTGTCAGATCCTTCTAAGTTAAAGGGCTCAGTCCCAAAAGACTATCCCCACTTCAGATGCCAACCCCCAAACCCAGGCCACCTGTACTTATTTACTGCCTGTAAATCTGGGGTTCCCACAAACCCCCTCAGGTTCAATAATTCACCAGAGTGAGTGAGACAGAGAAAGAGAGAGAGAGATAGTATGTGTGTGTGTTTTCTATGCCCTCTTCAGGCACTTCAATGTTTAGGGGTTTCTTTGTTTTGTTTTTTGTTTTTGTTTTTTTTTGAGTATCTACTACCTAGGCATGATTCATTAAAACACTGGCCACTGGTGATTGAACTCAATCTCTGACCCCTATCCCCTCTCTGCAGATCACAGTGGGGTGGTGGGGCAGAAAATTTCAGCCCTCTACACACAGGGTTTGGTCTTTCTGGAAATCTGAAGCTATCTAGGGACCCTAGCCACCTGTCATCTCAGCATACAAAAAACACTCTTATCCCTCCACTAAATTTCAGGAGTTTTAGGAGACAAAGACCAAATATTTAAAAAAAAATTTTTTTTAAAGATTTTTATTTATCTGAGAGAGAGAGAGAGAGAGAGAGAGAGAGAGCGAGCGCATGCACGAGCAGTGGGGAGGGGGAGAGGGAGAGGGAGAAGCAGACTTCCCCACTGAGCAGGGAGTCCAACGCAGGGCTCGATCCCAGGACTGTGGGATCATGACCTGAGCTGAAGACAGACACTTAACGAACTGAGCCACCCAGGCACCCTATTAAAAAGAAATTTTTTTTTAAGATTTATTTATTTGAGAGAGAGTGTGTACACACACATATACACACACACACATATGTGTCTGAGCAGAGCGAGGGGCAGATGGAGCAAGGAAGAGAATCTTAAGCAAACTCCCCGCTAAGCAGGGAGCCCAAAGCCAGGCTAATCTCAAGACCCTGAGATCATGACCTGAGCCGAAACCAAGAGCTGGATGCTTAACTGACTGAGCCACCCAGGCATCCCAATATATTTTTTTCAATTATACCACAACACCTATTCTGTTCTTCGTCACTGTGGGAGATTATTTTTTAAAAGAATACCATTCCATAAAAAACAACAAAGATCCTTTTTAAAAATAACAAAACAGGGGCGCCTGGGTGGCTCAGTCGTTAAGCGTCTGCCTTCGGCTCAGGTCATGATCCCAGGGTTCTGGGATCGAGCCCCGCATCAGGGTCCCTGCTCCGCGGGAAGCCTGCTTCCTCCTCTCCCACTCCCCCCGCTTGTGTTCCCTCTCTCACTGTGTCTCTGTCAAATAAATAAAATCTTTAAAAATAAACAAATAAACAAATAAAAATAAAAACAACAAAACATACCAGGCCCTAAATATTCAAATAGATGTCATCCTCCAAAACAATTATCTTTGGAGATTATATCATGTTCTAATATTCACATTTCTTTCAAAACCAGATTAAAAACCATCCAAGAAAAATCAACAATTACGTAGCATCCATATCACACAGATGTTTCCAGTACAAATCTCCTCATTCATTATTCATTATAACTTTCTACTAATAACATTTTTTAACATATCCAACTATCCATTATGCCAAATTATGCCATTAAATAAATGGCAACTTTCTATCAACAAAAATACATAAAGCAATAGGCCTCCAAAACAGAAGGTAACATTTAAAGCCTTTTTGTAACACTGTTTAGTGCTAGTCAATGTTAGCATTCATAAATGCAATTGCATGCTTCCATGGTTTCCCAAGATGGCAATTTAGATTTAGATATGTGAGTTCAAATATGTTTCTTTGTTGTTTTTCAAGTATCATTATGGACCTACCTTATATAAAAGCAGCACATAATTCAACAAGCTAACAATCTTTACAGAGTAAAAAGAGGGGAAAAAAGGTAAACTAATAATTGGCATAAGATTATATTCTTTTCAAAAAACTATTTCTTGTATATACTTGAAATCACCCTAATAAACAAAGTTTACATGTTTATAACATACCATTTACAGCTTTTTCAATCAATTCTTCACAAGCATCAAAATCACCCTTCAACACCAGTTTATCATGTAGATCTGTTAACATGGGATGTTCCAGGGCAATCTTGGTTTTTTTTTGTAGCGATTCAAACGCCTCTGTATAGTTGTGTTGTCTGAAGTGTTTTAGGCAAAGACGAATAGCTTCCTGTTCACGGTACTACTGGAACACAAGAGAAAGTATGAAAAGAAGAGATTTGCTTAGTTATTATGGTAGGCAATAAGTGACAACTAACCTAAAGTGAGCGTTTACTATGTGCTAAGCCTTGTACTATTCATTAGTATCATTATTTCTACTTTGAAAGGCAAAGCTGAAGCTTAGTCAGTTGTAATAACTTGCCAAAAGTCACAAAAGCATATAGCAGAAAGATACAGAAGAGATGAAGATATACAAATATACACATATATACCCAAAGGTATATATTTCATAAAGATGAAAGATATAAAAAAATGAAACCAAACCTAATTCTAGAGCCTGAAAAAGCAGAAAAACTGTTTATCAAAGACCACTTAAGATTGCAAAGATTATAATTTCCGTGGTGTTAACTCATCAGATTACAATGTTGGTACTGAAAGCTTAGAAACCATAAAAAATATATATAAGTTATATTACACTTTTTGTTCTTGGTTCAAGTTATTACATGAAAAGCAAATATTATCAAGTGTTTTATGTATTTCAAAAACCACAAACAGAATCTATGACTCAAAATGATCAGAAAAAGACTATTTAAATTTTATATTTTTTTCGAAGCCTGGCTACATCATCTATTAAATAGCTATAAAGTAAAAATATCAATTAACTAGAATCTAAAAAGAAGAACGTTCAATGTACTAACTCTTCCCTATTAAGGTGAATGCCAAAAATACAAGCTCAGATAAAAAACTTAAAAAAACAAACAAACAAGCAGTATCTTCAAGAATAATTTATGAAATTTCCACAAATTTCCTAAATAAAAATTACCAAAATTAACTAATGACAAAGCAGCAATGCATGATAACCAAACAATAATATTATTTACTTATAAGCATTATTCTTTTAAAAGACAAGAATACTACCTTTTAGGAAGATTTATAAGACTTGAAACACAAATCAATTTGTAATTGGCTGATTTTCTAATTAATAAAATGTCAAAACATTTTTCCTTAAGTATTACACTTAACCAAGATTTTCCTTATTCAAATAACAAAGATTCATTCTTTATCCAAACAAACTTTATTAAATTTCTTACCCTTGGCTTCTAAATAAAGATTTATCATAACTATCTGGAATCATATTTAACAGTAATACCTTTTTATCATGTTGACTTTAGGAGTGTGAATCATATCTGTATTGTAAGTTTTCTATCAGGCTGCATATAGATATACAGTAGGAGAAAATTTATGAAATAGAATTTCAACACTTTAAAAAAAAAGACTGAAACTCAAAGAGGTGAAGATTTTATCTAATTTCCAGAGGTTCATAATAAATGCAGCAAACTTGAAAAGTTAAGACTGAAAATTTTATGTTCTCAAATATAATCTCTCCACAATGTTGGGGTAACAGGTGAAATTTGCAACTTTCTACAATATCAAGAGATATGTGTCAGTATACTAAAATACACATACACACACACACACACACCATAGGCTAAAGAGAAAATTGCATTCAACAATCAGAGAAATTTAATCATTATTTTTTAAAAGAACCAATAGAATTTAGGAGATGCTAAGTTTATACAACTATGTGTATAACACTGTAAAGGTGATTTTTAACATTTAAAAATATTGTTTCTACCTTGAAAGATCTTACAGTATTATAGGAAATCCAAGAATATATGAAAAATACAGAAAATACTAAAAGCATCTATTTTAAGTTGAATATAATCAAATGCCACAAATAAACTATCAAAGAGTTCCTCAATTAAACTAACCAGAAAAGAGCCAAAATTCCATTATGAAAAGCCTTAGAAAGAATTTATAGTGCTTCCCAATCTCCTATGAGTAGATCAGTTCACCCCTACTTGCAAATAAAAGTAGTAAGAAGTAGTGAATAGACTAAAGCTTTATCATCTCCTTGACAAGAGAGAGCCCCCCCATCAAAAAAAAGCTATAAGAGTCGAATAAATACTCATCAAAAACAAAACAAAGCATAAAAGGTATGCAAAAAACCCAAAAGACCTATTTCTCAATAACTTAAACTCACATTTTTCAGGCTGCATCTACTGTATAAAGTGATCTATGAACAAAATTGTTAAATATAATTTTATACTTCCTATAAGCACAAGATCATAATATTTACAGAAGCTATTTCAAATTCTTTGAAGGAAAAGTAAATATTCCTATTTTACTCAACAAACACAACGGAGTAATATATTATAAAAGCAGTACAGAGGGACACCTGGGTGGCTCAGTCATTAAGCATTTGCCTGCGGCTCAGGTCATGATCCCGGGGTCCTGGGATCAAGCCCCACATTGCTTGGCAGGAAGCCTGCTTCTCCCCCTCCCACTCCCCCTGCTTGTGTCTCTCTCTGTCAAATAAATAAATAAAATCTTTAAAAAAAAAACAAAGCAGCACAGAATCAACACTACCCCACTAAAAACTGTGTTTAAATATTTCTATCAATATTGGTTGAAAACAAAATTCAGGATCAGATAGGTTTAATAATACATATAATGGCAGACTCTGGAGCTAGACTGCATGAGTTTATATGCTGGTGTGGGCACTTTACGACTGTGAACTGTGTGGACCAAGCAAGATCCTCAAAGTCTCGGTGCTCCATTTCATCATCTGTAAAAGAGGGATAATAACTACCTATCTCATAGAGTGGTAATGATTAAATGCTATAAAGATTGCTTAGCAGCTGGCAGAATGTAAATAGATATTAGTTGATTAATAATTACAGTTATTACTATTCTCAGTATTTTAAATTATTCTCAATGAAGACAAAAGCTTTACACATTTCTCCCTTTATAGGTATCAGAAACATAAAATCAGGATTTTAAAATACAGTCCTACCTTGCTGTACCAGTTGAGACAGGGTTGTACTACATCGGGATCATCAATGCCACTAAGTTCAACATACCAGATGCTAAAGTTAAAGCTGGGTCCCCAGGATAAGAGTGGAACTTTGTGGAGAAAAGAAAGAAAGAAAGAAAAAGAAAAAAAAAATTAACACAGTTCAAATAAAACTTTAGCAGAGTAAAATCACTATTCATGCCCATTTAAATTCATTCAATAAATTTTCAGGACATTTTCTATAAGCCTAACACTGTATTATTAGGTGCTGGGGTTACAATAAGAATAAAAAGAAAATATGATCCATGCCATCAAGGGGTATAATTTATAAAAACACTATAGAATGGGGCGCCTGAGTGGCTCAGTCGTTGAGCATCTGCCTTCGGTTCAGGTCATGATCCCAAGGTCCTGGGATGGAGCCCCGCATCAGGCTCCCTGCTCTGCGGGAAGCCTGCTTCTCCCTCTCCCACTCCCCCTGCTTGTGTTCCCTCTCTCACTGTGTCTCTCTCTGTCAAGCAAATAATTAAAATCTTTAAAAAACAAAACAAAACACGATAAAATAAATTCAAAGTGCTCATTTATCTACCCCTCTGAAAACAGGACCAGGACTAGATGATTTAGCAGTCAAATTTTATCAAACCCACAAGAAGCAAATAATTACTATATAAATTAAACTGTATCAGAGCACAAAAAGAGATCAAAAGTTCAATTACATAACAAGTGGTGTAAACCTGAAAACAAACTCAGAAGAAAAAGAATTTAAGGCTGATCTCAGCTGTAAGTATATATTCAAAATATTTTTTAAAGATGCCAAAAAATTCTACCAGGTTTTCACTGTAACCAAATAGAGTTCATTCCAGGAATGGAAGGATGGTTCCATTAATAGAAGCTCTATTAGTGTAATTCACCATGTTAACAAAGTAAAAAATGTGTCTGATAACCTCAAGTGGTGCTAAGAGTAAATTAATAAAATTTATTTTCTACTCATTAGAAGAGAAAAAACCCTCCTAATACATAAGAAATAGAAGACAAAGAAAACTACCTTACCTAAATTTTTTGTTAAATATCAAAGACCTCAAAATTAAAACCTAATGGAGAAACATTAAGTAATGCTGCTCAAGTCAGGAACAAGACAGAGAAGCCCAATTATCTCTATTATTCAACACTATATGGGAGATCTTAGCCAATGCAGTAAGAGAGAGAGAGAGAGAAAAAAAGCAAATTAAGAAAAAAGAGTATCACTTGAAGATGATATAGCTATCTTCATAAAAAATTCAAGAGAGTCAACTGAAAAACTTAAGATTGTATGCAAGGTAAACATGAAAATCAGTTTTCCCTCTACCTGTAATAACCAACTAGAAAATTTAATGAGAAAGTCCCCTTTAAAATGGTCACAAGAGCTTACAGTATCTCAGAATAAACCTTAATACAGGCAGGATCTACAGAAGAAAATATAAAATGTTAAGTAAGAGCTGAATAAATGAAAGGACATACTATGTTCTTAAATGGGAAAACTCAATGTTGTAAACATGCCAGTTTCCCTCAAATTAATTATAATGTAATCTCAATCAAAGGCTCAGTGGTATACATCCAATTTTTTTTTAAGATTTTATTTTTTAAGTAATCTCTACATTCAACGGGGGGCTCGAACTCATAACCCCAAGATCAAGTCGCATGCTCCACCAACTGAGCCAGCCAGGCGCCCCATATCCATTTTTCTTTTTACATATAATTGAACAAGCTGATTTTTAAAAACGTCAGTAACACAAGAATATCCAAAAGAAAATAAACATCCTAAAAATATACAGTAATTATAAGTTTGATATTATTGAGGGAAAGGGAAGGTAAATTATTGAAACAGAAGAGTGAATCCAAAAACCTAAGGATTCAGAGGAGTTTACGGTAGGTAGGATGTCATCTTTCCACCTGCTTTCATAAAGGGCTACCATCAGGGCACCCCTCCCAGACTTAGTACTCATTCTAGACTTCTAAATACTTCTGAGGATCCAGAATGCAGGCCAAATCCAGCCAGAGCTGAAGCTTCTCCCTAAAGCCCTCACAACCACCCAGTCTGCAAAAATCCAAAAAATCCACAGAAATCCAAGTCATTCTAACAATTTATCCTAAGCACAAAACAAATACCTGCTAAATTACCACCACAAGAGCGCCACATATCACTCAAGTGCTTTTTCAGAATGATTTTTTTTTAAAGAAAACATGGTGATAAACTAAAAATACTAACCTAACATAAAGGCTTTGAGTTTCACATTTTCACATTATATTATTTTCGAAGAAAATTTATCAAGAGAATGTTGCGAAGACTAGAAAGCAAGCACACAGCAGAACACTATTAACATCTTCTAACAGAAAATATGAAGTTAACTAAATATTAATATCCTAAGTATCAAATGAGTTAATAAGTGTCTACAATTATTTGAAAAGCTCCAATTAACATTTTGCCTGAATACCTAAAACTAACCCAGGGCTCAGTAAAAGACATCATTATGTCCTGTAATTAAATGCTGACAGAAAGGGCTGGAAAGAGGTCCAATTTCTTATCTTTGGGCAGCTGAATGTCTAACTGGCAGAAGAGACTTCTGTTTTATAAATTTTTAAGGGAAGAAAACTATGCAACTTCCCTAAACAGACATTTATTCATACTTCTAACGAATAATACTAGAAGACTGAGAACTATAGAAGCAGTAGCAGTAGGTAGTTTCCTTCAAAGTAAACCAATGACTGTAGGTACTGTGCAAAAAAGCACAAATAAAAGATTCTGAATATAAAAAGAGAAAGAGAAATTTCATTTTGCATGATGAAGCAAAACAGAAGTTGAATAAGTACTTAAAAATTTTTTTTAATTTTTTTTATTGTTATGTTAATCACCATATATTACATCATTAGTTTTTGATGCAGTGTTCCATGATTCATTGTTTGTTCATAACACCCAGTGCTCCATGCAGAACGTGCCCTCCTCAATACCCATCACCAGGCTAACCCATCCCCCCACCCCCCTACCCTCTAGAACCCTCAGTTTGTTTTTCAGAGTCCATCATCTCTCATGGTTCGTCTCCCCCTCTGACATACTCCCCTTTTCTTCCTCTCCTGTTAGTACTTTAAAATTTAACATAACCTAAATTTATTATAGGAAAACATAAAGATATTTCACTGCTTGTGTATTTGAAAGATGCAAACGTAGAACTATTAAAACTATGCTAGGGTCTATAGAAACTGGGTGGTCTGCATACTGAGGAGAGAAGTACTCAGTACAAAAAAAAAACAAAACAAGAGTTAAACTTAGTCAAAAAATTTGCTTATTCATAAATTCTCACAGAAAAACAGGAAACAGGTTTTTATTTACAATTATTTATTATAACAACAGAAACTATAGTCATAAAAGAAAGTAATACACTGGATAGCCCAACTATTGTAAAAGTAGTTTTTCCTCTATAGTAATCTTTACTAAGACCTTAGATATTCTTTTTGCCCAATAGAACTATTTGATTCAATGAAATGAACTGGCCACTTCTTGATAGACTGGCAAAAAATGACTATGAAGTACACTGCTTGTTCCAAAAGAGGAATTTTTCTCCCAAATCAAAACATGGGATTCTGGCTTTTATTAATATTCTTTGAAGGATCTGATTCACTTTAATTTTAACACAGTATTTTCAGTTATGCAACATAGATGCAGACTGCAAATTGAAAGATCAAGTCCTCAACTTCTTTACCTTAAAAAAAGAAATAAATCCTAAAGAAAGCAAAATAACTAAAAATACCGATGTTGAGAAGGCATTACAAATACTGTCTTAAGCTAAACACTTGCAAATAAATACATGCCTTAGGTAGTATTCTTCAAACATTACTTGCACCATAGGACACAAAATTAGTTTAACGGGTTTGACGAACATTTCACCAAAAAAAAAAAGACATAAAACAGAATGGGGGAAGAGTTAAAAAAAAAACAGAAAGTAACCATAATATACTGCCTTAAGGAATTCATCAGTATTTAGTTTTAGAATATTATAGCTTTACAATAACTTGATAAACCTTCCATAAAACAATCAAAGCTGAACTAAGTCACTTATCTCATTAAACCTTCCAAAAAAACCTTCAAATGAAAAAATATTTAGAAAATGTTCCACTTGAAATAACTGTTAGTTATAGATTTATAAAGCAGGGAAAAGAAAACTTTTGCTGCAAAGGGCCAAACAGTAAACATCTTGTCTCTTGCAACTACTTTGTAGAGCAAATGCGAGACAGACATTACAACCAGTGAATAACCAGTGTGGCAGTGTTCCCATAAAATCTTATTTTAAGAAACAGGAGTTCTAAAAAAAAAAAGGAAAAGAAAAGAAAAGAAACAGGAGTTCTGAAGGATTCGGCCCAGAGGCTGTAGTTTGTTAACTGATGGTATAAGGAATTTACTTCTATTTCAGAATGCTAAAAACCTTACCTATTTTAATGAATCGACAAGGGAACATCTGTTCATCAATTTTATGCTTCAAGGTGAATGTTTCTTTGTTATAATCATTCTTTAAGCCACTGTGAAAAAAAAATAGGTTATCAAATCTGACTTTATAATTTAGTAAACACACTGAAACATAAATCATACTAAGATCTTAAGGTTCAACAAAATACATGAAAATGCAAAGAAGTAGTCGAAGGGACGCCTAGGAGGCTCAGTTGGTTAAGGGTCTGCCTTCGGCTCAGGTCATGATCCCAGGGTCCTGGGATCGAGTCCCTTATTGGGCTCCTTGCTTAGTGGGGAGCCTTCTCCCTCTACCTGCCATTCCCCCTGCTTGTGCTCTCTCTGACAAATAAATAAATAAGCTTTAAAAAAAAGTAGTCAAACATGAGAATATAGGTCAAAACATATATTCATATCAACTGCATCATAACTGTGTTCTCTTAATTATATGAGGCCTAATGAAAAATGATCAGTGTTAATTAAAAGATGTGGCTACAGTGCATGGAAATGTGTGATAGGACCTAGTGTCCTTAGCATATAACTGAATATAACATAAAATATGTACACAGTAAGAAAAAAATTAAAAATAATTCACGTTCATATCTGACAACTTAGAGTCAAATATTAGTCTGTGAAACAATTAAGTTCTTAAAAATTCTGATTAAGATGTTAATAATGTTCCTTTTAGAGCTCAATAAATTTTCAAAGACACTCTTACTCCACTGGTTTAATAGCACCCACTTCATCCTACATAAAAATAAACGCTTATCACCTTTCTACATAAACAGGATTGAAACACAAGTATTTATGGGAAAATCACTTACCTTCAGGTTGCCTTATGTCCTAAAATACTTTCATGACTTAAATGCAGTACAGATGTAATATTTACTTATATCAAATACTGTGCTAATGGCACATATTATATCACAAATATATTCTAAAACATTCTTGATTTGTCCCTTCTACTGGCTGTCTGATTTTTCATTATCTAGGGGGCAAATTAACACTTTCATTCCTCATGGTCTATGTCTTTAAAACTCAAATTTACTAAGCTCCTTCCAAGTGGCAGGTACTGTGGTAGATACAGTCACATACTCTTTCTCTTTTTAGTCTCCAATTTATACTAAATTCCCAAAATACTGTTTCTGGATTAAGGCAAACAATCAATGTTTTAGATAGAGTCTGTACATATATTTTTTAAGATTTTATTTATTTAATTGTCAGAGAGAGAGAGACAGAGCACAAGCAGGGGGAGTGGGAGAGGGAGAAGCAGGCTCCCCGCTGGGCAAGGAGCCCGATGTGGAACTCGATCCCAGGACCCTGGGATCATGACCTGGGCCGAAGGCGGATGCTTAACTGATTGAGCCACCCAGACCTCCCCAAATCCCAAAATTTCAAAGCAAAGATTTTTACTGAAGCTGAAAATATTTCTGTGGTCATTTACAGTTCAAAAATAAGATTGAAAAATAAGTAGGGAAAAAAAAACATCCAAGTTTTATTTTCTTCTTTAGTAACAATATTAAGTTGTGGCTGGTGGTTAAAAAAAAGGCTAACTCAAGCCACAATATTAAAATAAGGCACTAGAAATACAACAGTAGAAATATTCTTTTCTCCCTTGAAAGAAGGATCAAACCATGCAGATTTGGCCACAGAGAGATAAAACTAAGACTGCAGCTTGTTTAGAAGACAACTCTTTCTTCCCCATAATCATAACTCACCTGGACAATAGCTCTGTCATATTTTCTTCATTCATTCCACCGAAGACTTTAAATTTCTTCAAATTGCAGACATGAGTTTTCTCATATTTTCCAAATGTGATGTTCTGGACTATAGCAGGCCTTTCAAGTTTCAGAATCAAGTACTTTTAAAAAAAGAAAAAACCAAATTATATCCTTTGTTTAGAAAAAATAGTTAAACAACTTTAAGTTAAAACTTTGGACAGTTAGCTGAAGAATGCCTAAGATCCGTCCTATCCATCCTATGCTGGTACATTGTGTTTTTAATGCTAAAGAACAGTATGACACAGCCCTGTACAGGCTGCCATACCACCACCACTTTTTCCCAAACTACATCATCCTGAACTATAGATGAAGGGGGAGAAAAGGACTAGTAAGTTAACTTTTAATGAAGGTATGCCATTCCATAAAAGACATAAACAGACTATGAATTACCAAATAAAACAACATTAGACTGCAAAAGCAGTAATCACATATTCTCATCAACTACATTCTGATAGCAAATTCAATGTTCAAAATCAGTGATGAAATTTTAAACTTAAAAACAAACTTAGAGATTTACTAACCAGCCCTGCCAATTTTATAAATTAAAAAACCTGGACCTACTATAGATATGTCTAATGCAGCTCAAGATTTCTTGTTACACACTGGATAAAATGGTGTCAGTTAATTAGGGAACATATTTTACATTATGTAGATTATTTCAATTATAAAAATCAAGAAGGAAATTACTACTGGTTGAGTATACAGAGAAAAAGCTATTCAGAGAAATGATTCAGATATTTTGTTGCAGTGGCTTCATGTTAATAATGGGTAATACAGGGTGCCTGGGTGGCTCAGTCATTAAGCGTCTGCCTTCGGCTCAGGTCATGATCCCAGGGTCCTGGGATCGAGTCCCACATCAGGCTCCCTGCTCAGCAGGAGACCTGCTTCTCCCTCTCCCACTCCCCCTGCTTGTGTTCCTGCTCTCGCTGTGTCTCTCTCTGTCAAATAAATAAATAAATAAATAATCTTAAAAAAAAAATAATGGGTAATACAGGTGACAAAAGTAGGATAAAAATAAAATTGATGGTTGGCCCTACTTCATAACACGCAGAGAAAATTAATGGGAGAAAATATTTGCAAATAATAAACCTAATAAGGGATTAGTAACCAGAAAATATTAAAAATTCTTACAACTCAACAACAAAAAAGACAAGCTAATTTAAAAACGGCAAAGGACCTCAAGAGTCCTCTCTCCAAGGAAGATAAGCAAATGGGAAACAGGCACATGAAAAGATGTATCACTAAGCATCAGGGAAATGCAAATAAAAATCACAATGAAATATAACTTCACATCCACACTAGGATGGGTATAATGAAAAACAAACAAAGAGAAAATAAGTCTTGACAAGGATGTACAGAAACTAGAACTCTCTCAGACACTGCTAGTGGGAATGAAAATGTACAGATGATGTAGAACATAGCTTGGCAGTTCCTCAAAAAGTTAAACATAGAATTACTACATGACCCAAAAGTTCTACTCCTACATATATACTCACAAGAAGTAAAAAAAGGTATTCAAACAAACACTTGTAAACAAATGTTCAGAGCAGCGCTACTCACAATGGCCAAAAGGTAGAAACCACCCAAATGTCTATCAACTAATAAATGGAAGAACAAAATGAAGTAATTCTATAAAATGAAATACTATTCAGCCATAAAAAGGAACAGAGTACTGATACATGCTATGACATGGACGAACCTCAAAAACATGGGTGCCTGGGTGGCTCAGTTGGTTAAGCGACTGCCTTCGGCTCAGGTCATGATCCTGGAGTCCCTGGATCGAGTCCCACATCAGGCTCCCTGCTCAGCAGGGAGTCTGCTTCTCCCTCTGACCCTCCCCCATCTCATGTGCTCTCTCTCTCTCTCTCTCTCTCAAATAAATAAATAAATAAAATCTTAAAAAAAAAAACATGCTAAGTGAAAGAAATCAGACATAACAGGTTATATACTGAATGATTCCATTTATACAAAATATCCAGAACAGGTAAATCCATAGAGATAGAAAGCAGATCAGTAATTACCAGAAGCTGTGTTAAGGGGAAAAGGAGAGACTACTTAATGGGTACCACAGGTCCTTATGGAGTGATAAAAATATTCTGGAACTAGATCGATAGTTGCACAACACCGTGAATGTATCAAATGTCACTGACTTGCACATTTTAAAATGGTCAATTTTATGTTATGTGACTTTTACCTCAATAAAAGAATGAAGCTGATGTTGACATGAATGATGATGATGATTTTGATGATGATGATGATGATGATGATAAAATCAGAGTGAATATTTTGTGAGCCCTAACTCCCTTGTCTGGTACATTGCTTGGATTTTTACATTCATTCTCTCATTTTAGTAGGAGTAAGAAATAGGAGTAGTATTTTAATAATAATTATCCTCTTTATCCTCATCATACAGATGAAGAAGTTTTGGCTTAGAAAGGCTAATTAACTTGACCACCGTTACAAGGCTAATCAGTGGCAGACGTGACATTAAATATCAGTCAGTCTGACGGCTAATACTGTTGGTTGGCCGACCCAACCACCATTTTCAACCCAGTTTTTCCTAGCCACCTTCCAGCCAAAGGAGAAATGCTGAGATGTACGCAGAGATAAGTTCTGCTCTCCAAAACAAAATGCTACCACTGTGTAGAAAAAAATGAAGAAAAAAATCAAGAGAATCTCAGAGATAGCCAACTATAAGCCACTCAGCTTTCACCAGAAGCTGCCTAACTCTAGTTTTCTTGAGGAGGAGGCAGGGGGCGGGAGAGACCCGATTTGTTTAACCCACTGTCAGAGGACCTTCTGTTATTTGAAGTTAAAAGCATCTCTACTGACTCACTGACCCCAGAGCCAAGGCTTTAATCACTACACCATAACAACTGTTTAGGTTTATATACTGTTTACATCTTAAATAGTGATTAAAATTTATTATCGGGCGCCTGGGTGGCTCAGTTGGTTAGGCGACTGCCTTCGGCTCAGGTCTTGATCCTCAAGTCCCAGGATCAAGTCCCACATCGGGCTCCCCGCTCAGTAGGGAGTCTGCTTCTCCCTCTGACACTGCCCCCTCTCATACTCTCTCTCTCTCACATAAATAAAATCTTAAAAGAAATTTATTATCAAAATTGTCATAGAAAAATTAAGATTGCTATTTTTTAGTCATTGATCCATTTTATCCATATCAAAGTAATAGGTATGGTAACATGATTTTTGGGAATTCGAAGTTTCTTAGGAATACAACTGTATGTTAGAGAACAGACTACACAGGTAAGTAAGGGAGTATTCACATCTCTGTCTTTCTCATTAACTCATACTCCCTTCTCCTTCCTTTCTCTAGTTATCCTTTAAAGTCTCAGTTTAGAAGTCAGCCTCCTCTGACAACTGGTTAGGTACAGTGTTGTAACTAATAAAAATGGGTTTTTATACAATCTGTTGTACACCATGCATTACCCTATATACAATACTCCTAAATACAGGAAGTATTTCTTGCATATATATATAATTTTATTCATAACCAAATAGAATTTTTTTGTTATTAAAAATTTACATAAGGGGGCACCTGGGTGGCTCAGTCAGTTGAGCGTCCGACTCTTGATTTTGGTTCAGGTCATGATCTTGGGGGTTGTGAGATGGAGCCCTGTGGCAGGGTCCCCACTGAGTGTGGAGCCTGCTTAAGATTCTCTCTCTCCCTTTCCCTCTCCCTCTCCCTCTGCCTCTCCCTGCCCTGCTCATGTGCATTCTCTCTGGTTAAAAAAAAAAAAAAAAAAAGTTACACAAGTAAAATGTAAACTTTCTAATCTGAAGCAAAACACAATGATCTGATAGAAACACAACTCAGGGAAAAATTTTAATGTTCAGGGCAGCTGGTTGGTAAGCATGTGACTGTTATCTCAGGGTCAGGAGTTACAAGCCCCGAGTTGGGGATGGAGCCTTCTTGAAAAAAAAAAAAAACTGAAACAAACTAAATGTTTTGGGAAACCAGTTAAGTTAGTCTGATACATTCATGTAATAAAATATTTTAAAAATTTCAATGTTTAATCACATTTTTACTTTATTTTTTTAAATTTTATAATTTTCATTTTTCCAACTCTTGAGCATAAATGCTGAGTAGTGCTATACTAAACAGTGTTGTCCCATAATTCAATAGGTTTTCATTATTTTTAATTTGGAGAAACAACTGCTGTAGATATAGCAATAAAAGCTAAAAAAAAAAAAAGTTCATTAAGAACCAATATTTTAGGGGCGTCTAAAATGGCGGCTCAGTCGTTAACTGTCTGCCTTCGGCTCAGGTCATGATCCCAGGGTCCTGGGATTGAGTCCCGCATCAGGCTCCCTGCTTGGCCGGAAGCCTGCTTCTCCCTCTCCCACTCCCCCTGCTTGTGTTCCTGCTCTCACTAGCTCTCTCTCTCTCCGTCAAATAAATAAATAAAATCTTAAAAAACAAAACAATGTATTTAAAAAAAAAATTTTAGAAAAACTATTTTAGAACTTATCATAGGGGGTCAAGGGCAGGCTGTCCCAAGATGGGCCACTTTGATATAAAGATTATTTTGAGTTAAAAGTAATCAAAACCCAGCAGATGCAAGAAAAGCTCTCTGACTCCCCCTCAACTGCTAAGCTGGGAAAAAGAGCCTGTACCAGGAAAAGAGCTATTAACAGAGGCTCCCCTTCACCTAAGGAACTTAACTGCAGAACTCCAAAACCTTGTTTTTCCAAACATCTCCTTTCACCTTGTTACTAATGAACTTTCTCCCTTTTGTATCCTTAGAACCTACCCCTTGCCTTCGCTCATGTAAGCTTCGTGTTGCCTGTCTTTGGAATTTCATGTCTGCATTGGACTCCCCATATGTACACCTATTAAATTTGATTTTCTCCTGTTAATCTGTCCCATGGCAATTTGATTCTAAGTCCAGCTAGCAGGAACACCGGGCAGAGGAAGGTCTTCCTCCTTGATACTATATATCAACCTTTGAATTTTAAATATGTAAGTATCAATGTATTAATTTTAAAATAAAACATAATGCATCACAATCTCTTTTCCAAGAGGGGGTGGCCCACACAGAAAATCAAAGAACTATCACAATGG